CTCACGTACATGCTGCCATTTAAGTCTGCCTCAGTAAGAAGAGATGGCATCGCACGCACGCACACACACACACACACACACACACACCCGGGGCTCAGAGTGGTCAGCAACTCATGCCTGGTGGGTACGTGGTGAATCTCGGGACAGCCGGTCACACCACACAGCTGGGGACTGCTCTCTGCACCACGCTGCCCCTCGTCCCCCAGGGCCACAAGGCTCCCCAGGCAATCCTTGGGCAAGATGAGAAATACTGACCTTCTCCCTTCTCAGACCCCTTTCTCAGTAATGTAAAGTGTGTCCCCTCCACTGTGGAAGAGGGGACCCAGGTGCACACACCAACACGCACACGTGCACACACACATGCACACACGTCCATGCTGCACACGCAGGGTTGTGCATCCCTAACTCCACAGCCCTGAAATGTGGTAGGAAACTCCCCCAGGCCCACACGGAGGACCAGAGACAGCACAGGGACCAGCACCTTGAGACGTAGCACAGGCAGAAAGAGTAAGACCGCCCCAAAGAAGCCTGGCACCCGTCCCCGGGGCACTAGTTCTCGGGTCCTGCTCCTCTCCTCGGGGTGCTGTGCCCACCGTGACACTTCCCTGGCTCCTGTGCCTCTGCCACGGTGAGTAGGGCTCTCCCAGGGGATGTCCTGGTGCCCTGTACCTCGGAGAAGACAAGAGACAGGTGCCACCCTGCTGGCCCCGGGCTCCTGCGGTGGCTCTCTGGGTCATCTGGTGCTAGTCCACTGGAGGCAACGGATGTCTTCTTTTTTCACCATGAACAAATATCGTGGGCTCTGGTGAGCAAAGACACTTGTTTCCCTCCAATTCTGTCCACAGGTTTCATCAATCCAGGTCGGGTGTCCCTGGTCTGAAATGCCTGGGGACGGACGTAGTCCGATATTGGCTGTCTGCACAGACCTAACGAGATACTTGCGGGCTGGGACCCGAGTCTCGAGACGGAACTCATTTAAGCTTCACATACAACCTTATACTCATAGTCCGAAGGAAATCTTATACCATGTTTTTAGAGCACTGTGTTTTGACTCCGACCCATCACGTAAGGTCAGGAGTGGAATTTTCCACTTGTAGCACCAACCATGTTGACACTCAAGAAGCTTCAGATTTTGGAGCATTTTGGAATTTCATATCTTCAGAGTGGAAATGCTCAGAGTGCACTAGAGACCATTTATGGACAGCCTTCCCACGGGCCAGGCCCGGGTCTGAGAGGCTTTTCTCATGCCCATATTGCACTGGAGGGAACAGATGGACTCACCCCAAGTCTCAGATCTAAAACTGGGCAGGTCAGAGACCTGAACCCAGGTCACCTGGCCCCAGAGGCCACACTCTCAACTGCAATGCCACGCCATCTCCCGGGGAGCCTGTCCACTCATGAACAGGACAGAACGGGTCCCACACCAGCAAAAGAGGTCACGGTTTACCTCCATGGCCCCGGGATGTGCTCTGCGCATGGCGAAGGGACAGATGTTTAATAACTTCGCAGTTGCAAGGAGGAGGTTACATAACTCGGCTGAGCTATTTTTGAACTTTGAAAAGAGCAGTCAGCATTTTCCAAAGTGTCCTCTGCAAAACGAGGAATATTAAACATAAAGGAAATCTCCCCCTCTCCCCTACTGTGCTCTTGTGAAGCTGTGGGACAGAAACAGGTGCGTGGTCACATCACCCACACACCCTCCCTGGTAAGGAGCCCCCTTGTAGGAGTCCCTTGTGCCTTGCCCAGCCCGACCTGGGTCCTATTGCTGTAATACCCTGACCACACAAGACCATGCATAAAATCATGAGCAATGCCCCTGAGGGCCACCAAGTGACACGTCAAGCTAGTGCCAAGGTGTGGCTCAACCAGTCAGAACGGACACCGGAGCCCCAGTCGGGCATCATGAGACGGGCAGGTGCAAATTCATCCAACTCTTCTGAGGCTCTTTGCCTCTTCCCCGTCACACAGGGGACATCTTGAGAGCTGTGTATGTGGCCAGCACTCTGCCAAGTGAGACTTCTTCCTCCAGCTTTTCAAGCTTGAAGTGAGAAGACCCTCCCTCGAGAGTCCTGGGGTCCCGCTAAAAACGGGGGTGGATCCAACGCGGGCTGGAGAGGTCGCATCTCTGCCGTCAGCTCCCAGAGTGAGGGTCCCCTCCCACCACAACCTAGGTGTCCGTCACAGGGGAATGACCAGGTGAAAGATGAAGTGCTCACACAACAGGACGCAAGGCAGCCACCGAGAGGAACACAGGACGACATGTCCCCGTCACAGAGGGGACTTCCAATCGCAAGGTGGAGGCAACGGGAACTCTGACCTATCAGGTACCATCCGTCTCCATCGGGAAGAACTGTGGCCCGGAGTGCCGTGGCACATGAGGCTTTACCTGAACTACAAAGGCGTGCGCGGATGTGGATACATGTCAAATTCGTGGTAGTAGTTTCCCCCCCACGGAGAGGAGGAGAGAAAAGCAGAGCCAGCGTGAGATGTGATCAGACTTTACATGATCATTTCATGTTTCATTCCTTTTAAAACGTGGGAAAACAGGACGCGTCAACCTTCATTCTCTGTGACGAGGACCGGGTATTCCAGCAGACCCTGCACTATTTTCTTTTTCAATATTTAAAAGAAATCAACAAGCATTCCTGTCACCTGAGTCTGTCTTTAGACAAATCTCTCCTGTCTTTATCTCCTGTCTTGTCAGTATGGTGTCTGGGACAGAAGTCACGCCTTGGTCATCTGTGCGCTCCAGGGCGAGCATGGGTCTGTTGGACAGAAGGACTGACGGATGCAGACAGACAGAGTGTGTGTGATTTTTTTGAACTGTTTCCCTGGGCTTCCTCCAGCTGTCAGTCAAGGGCAGACTGACAGGTGCCACTCTTTCCTGAGGTGGTGCAAAGAACAGCGTGGGGTGGGGAGGGGTGAGCGCCAGCCCTCAGGACAGAGGTGCTTCATCACACCCTCGCAGTGGAGGGTGACGTAGAGAGTTGCTGGCTTTTCTAGGCTGAAATGGCATTCACAAAACGGCTGCATTCAGAGGTACGACTCGTGGAAGGAGCGCAGAGCGGCTCCCAGCAGCAGGGTCTCTCTCCTTAAAGAATGCCCTCCGAGGTGGTCCCTGGAAAGACCTGGATGTCTTGCCAATATCCTCCTGGAGTTTCCTTTCCTATATAGATTACATTTCAGTTGCCTTACAATTGAGTTAAGTTCCCGTCAAAATGCTACATCCTGGATATCCCGGCTGCAGGGCACATCTCGTTAAGGAGAGCGCGGATTCATTAGCCCAGTCCCTGTCCTTGGCTCACAGCAGCCGAGCCTCCAGAACCAGCACTCGGGTCTCATCCTGAATTCTATCTGGACAAGGACCTGGAATGGCAAACACGACGTCACGGAAACAGGATGGTTAAGGAGGGGGGAGAGGAGCCAGCCAGGAAGGGAGAACCTCAAAGGAGCAGCTTCCTTGATCCAGTTTGTTTTTCAGGTGTATCACACACACAGACACATCATGTATGTGCACACACACACACGCCCACCCCTTAATTCCCGATTCACAGGTGACCTCTGAAATGTCACAGAGTCCTAGAATCTTCCTGAGACGCGACAGATTGGCAGTACCCTGCTGGCAATCGACAAACAAGGTCTCCTGACATTCATTTCTGATGACCAGAACCTTCACTTGCGACTCTGAGGGTTGTAAGATGATCACCAGCCGCAGGCACCGTGCCAAGCAGCACTGCCCCAGCATCTCACTGAATCCTCACGACAACCCCCAGAACACGGTTCCCCGCGCCTGGTCTTCAGGCCAGCAATGTCCACACCACCTAGGAATGTGCCATGATTGGAAACCCCTGGGAATTGCCCCACACCTAGGAATACACTTGAAACTCTGAGCGTAGGGCCCAGTATTTTTACAAACCCCCCAAAGATTCTGGTGGGTGCTCACGTTTGAGCATGACCCCCTCGGTATAGGCGACATCATCGTCACGTTGCGATAAGCACCACAAAGGTGCAGTGATGGTCTAGTCCTACAGACAGTGGGCCAGGTAGAGCTGGAATCTGGACAAGTCCCTACACAGCGCCCCCTGCTGGCCACCTGAGAAATGAGCACAGGTCAAACCAGGGAACGTTAGGCAGAAACATGTGAATGACGTCGGAGTGAGATGCTAAAATCAACAGCTGGGCCATAATGACAGGCCACAAGGTACAGTGACACTTCCCAGAAACAAAAACGTGACGTCTACCCTGATGGGAAAGGTTAGATAATCATGATACATCCAGATGCTGGAGTGCAATTCCGTCTTAGCACTGATGCTTGCCAAGATTCCCAATGACCTACGAAGACACTCGGACACAGAAGAGATCCAGCTCACCAAAGCATATCGGGCTGCTGCGGATGTGGGAGGTGGGCCAGTTTCACAAAATGCTGGTGTGAATGTAGAGGGTACAGTTACTTGGTAAGCACAATTTGGCAATAGATACTTAAATCAAAAATGCACCTGCCCGATGACCCCCAAACTCCACTCTTAGACTCAACCCTAGAAAAACAATTGCACATGTGATTCACGAGACAAGTGTGATGATTATCCTTGGCGTTTCACTTCTAACGGAAAAACAATCTGGGGGAAAAAAAGTAAATTCCTATCATTATGCAGATTCGAAAAATAAACCATGGCATATCCACATTGAAGAATACGATATGCACATTGCAAAGAATTTAGATAGACTTGAGATATAATTACGATAAATGGTCGACAGATAGAGTTTTTGAATTTAAAAAAGTTGTAAAAAAATGAAAATAGGATGATATATATCTCAAAACAAGATGGGAAGAAAATGCAGAAAACAGGGCAGAATCAAACAAAACAAAACGTCTGCACACACACAACAGTCTCTGTTTTCAGAGCACATTTTCATCAATGAGTATGAAACAAGCAAAAAAAAAAATCAGGGCGACTAAACCCTGCGCCCACTCTGGGAGCAAGCAAAGAGCCCTCTCTTACTGGTGCAGAGTGTGAGTCGGGGTCTCCGGCTTCTCCGTCTGCCCGTAGCAGCTGGCCTTGGCCTCGGGGATGTAGGAGAACTTGTCCAACATGGAGGACGCCGCGGTGGTCAGGATGGCCAGACCGTCCCTCACCCTCGCCTCCAGGCTGTAGTCCCAGTCGTCGTAGGAGACGGAGATGAGTCCCGATGGAAACTCTTTGGGGATGAGCTCCGTGTTCCCAGAGACCAAGCTGGGGACAATCCAGAAGAAGTCATAGCCCGTGAGGCCCAGGGAGCGGGCCTCGCTCAGGATGAGGACGGCCTCGTCTTTGGAACAGTAGAGCAGGATGACGGAGGAGTGGATCTTCTTCAGCTGGACTTGCGTCTTCGCGTCCTCAAAGGACGTGTCCAGCGTGATCACATTCTGCATGTCCCAGCCCACGAAGCTGTTGTCCACGGTGGTCTTGATGAAGCTGATGAAGTCCCTGTAGCCAGGGAAGATGGTGGTCACCAGGGAGAAGACGTGCCAGTCGTAGTCCTGCATGATCTTGAGCATGACCGTGGCTTGCTGCTGGATGGACGCTCCAAACTGGAAGAAGGTGGACGTCGGGTCCTGCCAACAGTGAAAGGCAAGAAAGCAGAGGGTGAGCGAGGCGGGCATGGACAACCGTCGTCTGTCTGTCTGTCTGTCTGGGCTCAGAGAGGGCCCCTCCTACAGCCAGGGGAGGCCAAGCACGCATCCACCCATTTAAAACCTGAGCACCCACTGTGTGCCAGGCTCTGCAGCAGATCAGGGAGCTGCAGACGGAAGGTGCTGCTGTTGAGCCACCCCCACCCGCTCTCCTTCCCTCCGTTCCTCCTCTCCCACCTTCGAGTCCCCCTGGTTCCAACAGAACAACTCTCCCTGGCCCCAGGCTCCCACTGGGGAAAGGCATCAGCATCGGGAAACACACCCACAGGACACTCTGGAGCCCTGGGGTGTGCCATGCCTGAGGCCACCGGCCCTGGACCTCTTGGCTACAGGGGCCAGCAAGTTCCCGTGCCACGTAAGCCCCTCGGAGTCGCGTTTCTGTGACGCCAACTTAGGTTCTCGTGTAGCAGATGCGACGTGAACGTCGATGTGTTCACGCCGACACTCACAGGTTGAGCTCCTCCGTGCGCCGACTTCGCGCTAGGCCTCGGAGATCGTGATTAGGAGGCAGATCCCCACAGGGTCTCTGCTTTCATAGACCTGGTGGGAATGTGGGGACGAGCAGACCCAGGACCAGTGACCGAGAGAGGCCCGTGGGAATGTGGAAGGAGGATTCAGGCGAGACACAATTGGGGGGCTTGACAGAGGTGTCCCGAGGTACATTTTGGGGGTTCCAGGAACTGTAGACAAGGGCATTCTGGCCCAAGGAGTAGAAAGGATAAATGATGTTAAACAATTTGGCAGGAACCCCACTGTGTAGGGCCTCGAGGGCTGCAGGCAGAGACACGGAGCATCCCGAGCACAACAGGCAACCACTAAGTGTTCACACACTGCGTGACACGGTGATCTGCATTGAGCTAAGGGTTCCTATTAGTCCTGACATCTGCAAAAATCTATGAACACGAGACCAAACTTTCACTCAGAAAAGCAGGCGACGGTACATCCTCACCCTGCTCCGTGCATCAAAGCCCCAGAAGGATCCCAGGAAGTTGCTCATTTCTGGGCAAGGGTGGGGGAGGCCGAAAACGGCCACGCGCCCAGTCAGTGTCCGAACCCGGTCCTGAGACTCCACGCCCAGTCCCCAGGCCCACACTCCCCCACGGCCTCTTGGGGTCCTTTAGGATTGGCACAGGACTGGTGCGTACACCCGTGGGAGGATGGAAAACTGCAACCAGGCAGAGGTGGGCCCTTTGTCAGGATGCGAGAAACGCCGAGAGTCCCCAAGGTCTGATCGCATTGCAGCCACGTGTCATTCTGCACTGTGTGCGGGGCCTGTCTAGCACCACCTCAGCAGGAAAGCACACGGGACCCCACTGTGCGCACGCGCGTTCGAGGGGCACAGGTCGCCTGTGTCTTTCAGGACCGTGCTACAGCTGCATCCGTGAGTCCTGGAACGGGTCCGCCCTCTCCCGTGGACGGTCACGGCAGGTTGTCTAAATGGCCAGACCTCTGTGTGCTCTCTTCTGAAATGTGTGGGTTTGGGGATGATCTGGGTGCTATGTGGCCCAAAGGCAGAGAGAAGAAACGGGGACAAATAAATGCCTTCTGAGCTCCTTCTCGCATCACAGTTCTGTGAATTTTACCTAATTAAATCAATTAAAATGGGTAACAGATTTAAAGACTTTGAATAATTATCTTTTCCCTACAGTAGCTTTTGGAGAAATCCAATATTCTCGCATTGATTAATCATGTTAAAACACATCTCAACAAGACTGTGAGAGCCTCAAGGGCAGAGAGACTGAAGTCTGTGGCTCTTTGTCCCTGGAACCCCACAGAAGGCTTGGCCCGTGACACGTGGAGAAGAGAAGGATGGGGGCGCACGTCAGTGAGCGAGCGTGTCACCTCAGAGAACATCCTGGCCTTAAACAGAAGGCGGCAGGGGAGGGCCGGTCCCCAGCACTGCGTTTTGAACGGACCTTCAGCGTTGAGTCCCCACGAGACAAAACGTCCCACACCATCACCACCGTGTCCACCCACCCGGAAACCACTCCTCCTCCCAAAGCCCTAAACACATTTTAATGCACCTTTATTGATATGGAGGGGAATAGCGGAGGCCGGTGAGCCCACAGGTGTCCCTCAAGCCTCTTTAAGTACCAAACCGGGGAGCAACCCAAAGACCCTACCAGCAGAGGAGGGCACCAGGGTCAAGTCTAGGGGATCTGGAACAGGACCACAAATGCTCCACGGTCTCCCTGGTAAGAGGGATGGTCTGAGGAATCCGACCGGCAGAGCTGCTTCTGCACCATGACAGGCGCGGGTGGGCACTGTCCAGGGTGGCGGACACAGACATGGAGAGAGTCCTCAGGAGGACGCACGCCAAGGGCACAGTTAGGACCCAGTAACAGGGGCTTTGAGACAAGCCACAAGCCACATTCCTTGGGATCACCGCGTCGGAGGAGAGGTGGCGGTCACACAGGCCAGGAGCAGCGGGAGTGGGGATCTTCCAAGACCCTTGCTCCAGGCACGGTGGGTCGGAGGTTACGGGCGGACCCACGAGCTGCTAAACGCCCCGAGCAGAGCCGTCAGTGAGTGCCGTCTTTCCCAGCTCTCCCGCACAGAGGATGGCGTGGCGGGACTGTGGACTTCGTGAAGGAGAAAGACCACCACGGGGACGGCAGTTCATTAGCCCGGAGCCAGCCAGGCACAGGCCCTCTGTGAAAGAGAATGTACAAAACCCTGGCCTTGTGCCATCCTGTCCTGCAACACTTCAGAGCCAGCCCACGTCTCTCCCCATTCGCTGCCCCTCCCCCAAGACGGCTCAGAGCAAAACTTCTGGGGTCAGACTGTCCAGTTCCAATCCCAGCAGCACAGCCTTGGGGGAGACCGCTCAACCTTTCCAAGCTCGGCAGAGCAGGCGTGACTGTCACACTGAGAGTCACAGCTAGCATGCAGAAGCGCTTCCTCTACAAGAGTCACGTTGCTCACTAACGTCAGGGACTGCTGCGTCCAGTGCCACCCCAACCACTGTACCAAGCTGGCACCAGCGTCCCACCCCATTTACAAACAAAGACACAGACTCAGAGGAGAAGGGACCACTGGTGGGGAACCAGGTGAGTCAGCCTTTGACGTCCCAAGTACTTCATTCCTGCACCATCTTGTTGACGCGGATGGTCCTTTCTCATCAAGACCTAACAATTCAATGTCCTCCCTATAAGGAACCGTCCAGAACAGTACTCATTGCAAATCAAGTGCTCACAGATAGAAGCCAGGGTCTTTTCCCCACAGGCCAGGAACCCTTTGGAATAGGAGACCATGCTACGCCACCCCGGAGTGCACAGATGGGGATCATCTTGACGGCTGATGTATGGCTGCCTGATTGAAATTCCTATAGACTGACCCTAACCAAGCCCCTCCTCTGCTCTACAGCCACCCATGGCTCCCATGGCCCACCACATTAGGGCCAGACCCCCCAGCCTACTCCTTTATGGGCACCAGCCTAGCTTTATAGTTGATCCAAGTTCAAGTCCTGGCTCTGCACTAACTAATCCTGGGACTTGTGTACATTAAGCACCCAACCTTTCTGGGTCTGAGTTTCCTCACCTGTAGAAGGGACACGATGACCATGCACCGTGGGGTTGCTCAGAGGGTGGGATGAACTGACAGGAGTGGGAAGCCGGCCCCGCCCTGTCCGACTCCCGCTGCCTGGGGCTCCTCTCTGCATCCTCACCCCCCAGGCTGCAGGGACGCTCCAGAACTAAGGGGTCCTCATGCCACTGCAGAAACCCACCCCTCTGGCCCACTGCATGCTAATCCCTGTGGACCCTGCCAACCGGCTCCTGCGCTCTGAGCCCAGGGAGCCCGGGAAGAGGGTAAGGAACTCTTTCCTGGCTATCGTGAATCCACTTTTTGGAAAGAAACCATCACTGACGCCCTTCATGTGCCTCAGATGATTATGCTGCACCACTTTCATTTCCATGGGCATCTGGAACTTCAGCTTCAAACAAAAAGCCCGGTGGATCAAAGGCTCTGTGTACCCAGAGGGATGGTGTGAGGAGGCACTTGCAAAACTTAACTGCAGGAGCAGGCACTGAAGACGCTCGCATTGGGGCTTTCCTAAGGTGATTTTAGGGACTGGTGGGGGCACTAGGGAGTCTGGCCACGGTCCAAAGGCCAGAGCTACAGAACGGCCCTTCCGCCTCTGCACGCCCTTCCCACTTCCCGCCCTGATGGTGGGGCAGTGTCTCCTGCTACTGCCTGGACTCGGGACACTAACAGATCGTCTCTGACCCCCTCTGGCATGTGGCTTTCTGCGGATGCGCAGCCAGGGGAGAGGAACAGATTTCCAACACCCACTTTGGTTCTGAAGCAGAAGCAGTTGTGTCCCCAGGCTCAGGCTCTGCAGAACAGACTGTTTCAATCAGAGCGAGGGAGGCTGGGGGTGTGGGGTTCTGGGTGTCTGTCTGCTCCAGACTCCGCGTTTCAGTCCTACCATCCATGAGGTCTCATTAGAACAGGTCTACAGCGTTGAATCCTTTTCTAGAATGTTCCAGAGCTGGCCGAGTCCCTAGAATGACATCCAACTCCATGGTCATTCCCGGGAGCATCTTCAGATCCTAGTACAATGATGGACATGCAGGAAGCGCAGCCCTGTCCCCAGGCTGGTTTTAGAGGCTCGTGACGACTTTCATCTCACTTACCTCCTAAATGATCCTCAACGCCCGAGAAACAGAGGGCCAGCCGCATAACGCCCAAGCCTGGCATTGCTCATGCAACCCAGGAAGAGAGCCCTGGGTGGCCCCAGTGTGACGGCAAGACGCTCCTCCTTGACCACTCGGAGAGTCACTGTAAAACGTGCCAGTGCTGTGCCCTGTGTCAGTGCAGTCGAGATGGAAGTGCTGAGACCTGAACTCCAAAGCTGATCTGCTTGTTTCCCTGAGCCTCATCTCAACAGCAGGTGCTTCCCGGGAGGGAGCACCTTCAGA